ATTAAATTCTTAATGAATACTTCAGGCGAACAAAAGGAAGAGTGGTTTCTTAAGCTGAATCCTCAACACTGTTTGCCCACTATTTGTGACAACGGATACGTCTTATGGGAAAGGTATGCAAACTTGTCTGTCATTTGACCACTTGTTGAGCACTGGTATGATTGCAGTCGCGCTATAATGACATATCTGGCCAACAAATACGCCCCCAATTCAAGCCTATATCCGAGTGATCCCGAGAGGAGGGCTGTTGTCGACCGTATATTGCAGTGGGATTTGGGAACCATTTATAGAAATATTGGCGAATATTTGGCACCCATTATGAGAGACGGCAAACATCCCAATGATTTGGATCCCGAAAAGGGAAAGAAAATCAAAGAAGCGCTTCAGATATTGGACGACTCGCTGGCACTACAGAGTTATGTCGCCGGCAATGATATCACTTTAGCTGATCTCTCGGTTCTGGCGAGCCTTTCGTTGGCCGAAGTGTTTGATTACGATATGATTAGTATTTACAAGAATGTCAAGCAATGGAGCGATCGTTTGAAGCGAGATCTGCCCTATTATGACGAGATCAACAAAGAGCCCATCAATATGTTTAAGGCTTATGTCAAGTCTAGAGCCGCCGATCAGAGCACTAATATTCAATGAATCAATGCTTTAATATTTGTTTCAACAAAAAAACTATTTTTAAACATTTGTTTCCGAAATGATTTTATTTTCCATTCAAATGACAAACAAAACAATGAATTTTGAGTACAAATAATGTTCTCAAACCGTAAATATATTTAACATAAAATCAAATGAATAATTAATGAATATTTAAAATAAATTTCCTAAAGTTTTGTTAAAAAACCAACTTTTATATCAGTCTTCAATATGTGCTCCAATCCAATGGAGGTATGAGGAGACTAATCATGGTAAAAATATTATTCAGTTTTGTTACATGTGGTTATAATTATAAGTTGATTAGCGTTATAATCGTGTTAAACATACCCTTAGTATAGACTCCGGGATATCCCGGTTGAGCGCAACCCTTTCCAAAGGAAACGACTCCCAATTGATAATACCTTCCGCTATAAGACACAGTGAGAGAGCCTCCAGAGTCACCCTTTTATATGAATTGAGTTACTAATGAATTAGTGAATTAGTGATTGTCGGACACATACCTGACACGAGTCTTTGCCACCGTTTGGATACGAAGCGCACAATTGGTTTTCGTAGATCTGATCGGAAACAGTCAATAGGGAACTGTATCTCTTGGCACAG